AATAATAATAATAATATTGTTTATTTAATTATGCCATTTACTTGTTCTTAGTAAATAAATAACTGATTAAGCATTAATTATTATTTTTTCAATTTAATTTTAATTTTATAAAATTGTGAATTTTTATAAAATAATTTGTTGGTTTTTCTCAATTGAAAGTAAAATCGGTAACTGAGCTTCACTTCAAACTAAATATACTGTTAAATAAGAACGTTTACAATGGAAAATATTTATTGTTGTGGTTTATGGGTTCAGCCAATCTTGTCTACGCTAATTGTACATTAGGCGCAAGCCTCGTAAAGTTGTGTGAAACACCCTGTATAAAGAGGCTTGTCCTGAGTGACCTATCAACCCACAGCCTAAACCGCTATAGGTAAAATTTTGAAATTTTCACAGTAGATACCTTTTATAATATAGGCATCAACTAAGAAAGGATTTTTGGAAAATCAACCCCTAAAGGAGTTAACTGGAGAGGTGAATTTGAAGGTTTAAAGTTATATCCATAAAAATTGGCCTTTAGGCTTTCGGTTAAAAAGAAAAAAGTACATGTTTTAGAATTTTTGAAAATTAAACCTTGAAGGGGGTTGAACAAGGGTAAATGGTAGGTAATAAAATATCCGATTTTTTAATAAAGTTAAATCTATGAAACTTGGTATTTGGGCTTTCAGTTGAAAAGAAAAAAAAACACGTGTTTCAGGATTTTGAAAAATTTCATCCCCAAAGGGGTCAAACAGGGGATGAAAATTTGTTTAAATATTTATAAATTCGTTATTCTTGAAGTTATATTTATAAAAATTGGGATTTAAACTTACGGTTAAAAATGAAAAAAAGGTGATTTAGAATTTTTGAAAATTCCACCTCCATGGGTATTAAACATGAATGACAGTTTATATTAAAATTTGTCATTTTCAAAGTTAAATCTTTGAAATTTGGTATTTAGGCATTCGGTTAAAAATTAAGAAATACGTTTCAGAATTTTTGGAAATTCCAATCCCAACGGGGTAAAATATTCGTATTTTTTTTTAAAGTTAATTCCATGAACATTGGTATTTCGACTTTCTGTTATAAACCAAAAAACACGTGTTTCAGGATTTTAGAAAATTCCATTTGTAAGGGGGTTAAACAGGGGATGAAAATTTGTATCAAAATTTGTCATTGTTAAGTAATTTCCATGAAAAATCGTCCACTTTGATATTACATACATAAAAATTGTTATTGGGGCTTTCTATTAAAAACAAAAAAAGCATGTTTTAGAATTTTTGAAAATACCACCTCCAAGAAGGTTAAACAGGCGATGACAGTTTGTATTAAAATTTGAAGTTACCAGGTGAATAAAAAGTATAGAACCAAACGTTTTTTGCATAAACTATTTATTTTTTTGGAAAAACTAATTAATAAATGATAAAAAAACGATACAAAAATATTTTTTTAGAAATTTTCTATTGTTTTTGAGTTCTACAAAAAATTTAATTTTTTTAAATAGCAACCCACTATAAAACTATTTTTCTCATAAAGGTTATGATCTAAGGATTACAACTATTTATTTCATATTTAATTTTTTCAAATTTTTTTTACATAAATTGCAATTTTGACAAAAAAATCGCATGAATCAAAAACAAGACAAAATTTCGTTCTCAAAATACGATCTCATTTTTTATATTACGTTAATTTATACAGAATGCGCCAGAACTCGCGCCCCAGAGAAGAAGGCTATCATCATATAAGGTAAGATACCAGGAACATGGAAAAAATGTTAAAAAAATTCTATAAAAATTTCGGAGTTATAAGAGTTTAAATTTTGCACTTTGACTCTATTATTTCTCTATTAAAAGAGGAAACAAAGAAGCTGTAGCCTAAATTGTAACTCTGTTCAATATTATTTGTGGCTTTTATTGGCAAAATTTTTGTACTTTTATTAAATAATTGTAAAAAAAACATATACAAGATCATCAGTATCATTAAATAAACATAAAAAAATGTCAAATGTCAAATGTCAAAATTTTTTGACAGATAGAAATTTTTAAACATTTTTTTCTCTGGGGCGCGAGTTCTGGCGCAGCCCTGTATATGGACTTCTATCCACCGAAGCAAAGCGCTAAGAATGAGGTGTTTGTGTGGAAATCATTATTGTTTGAGATTAAAGACTTGAAATTTTGCAGTCTTTAAATAAGTTATAAAAGACAGACTTTTTATTTTTACTACGGCGTTAAAAATAAATTATGTGTTGTTACTTTTAGTTAAATAGTAAGTTTCTTAGTCCCCCAACAGCTAGTATTTCATACGCGTGAAGTGCGAATGTAAAAATTGATCATTTATCTTTTGTCTTTACAAATTTTTCTTAAATTTCTTGATAAAAAAATGTAGTTTTCCCCCCCGTGTTGACAAAATATGATCGATCCGAGATGAAGGAGCGCGATCCTGACATATTTGTGATGTCTTGACATAGTTGCAACACTGAATACTTGCCGGAGAATGTCAGTTATCCCGGAGCCAGATAAGGCGATTCAAATTTCCGATTCTTCACCCCTCATCGTTGTGCGGAATGCGTCGCGATTTTTAATTAAATTCGAGGTGCTTACCACGTGCGTATGGTTGGGGTCGCCCTCGCGGGGCCTCAGTCCCAACTGGTTGTAGTGGTGGAGGCCGGAGAGGCCCCCATACGGATCAGTGAGGTACTCGAGGTGCTGCTGGGGCGGCGGACTAGGGGGGTGGTGAAACGGTGGCGGGAAGTACGGCGGCTGGAAATCCGGCTGCGGCAGCTGGTGTTGCATGGCGGAGCTGTGGTGGAGCCCTCCGGAGCCCCGGTGGTGCGCCCCGGAGCCGCCCGCGCCGTAGCCCGGAGAACTGCCGCTGAGGGCTAGAGAACCATGGCCGCCGGCCGTCAGGCGCTCCTGAAACAAAATTTCATAATAATAATGATATCTTGATTGCCCAACAGATTTCTCCAATTACAGGACAACATAAACATAATAAAAACAATTAATTGTACAGAAAAAAATAGAAAACAATCAAATAATACAGAATAAAGCAGAAAGTAAACAGTAATAAAAAACTAAAATAAAATATAATAAAAAAGAAAAGATACTTTTAGAAAATCCTAAATATACCCTTACATAAAAATAAAAATAATAAAGTAGACTAGTTACATACAGGGTTATTCATAAATATGAAGCAATATTTGAACCTCAAAAATTACCTATAAAATGATGTTAATTTAAATAATAACTCGTGTCCTATCTCTACTGATAAGAATTTTACAGCCCTCGGAATGTGGGTATGGAAATTTGATTTTTTTGTAATAACTTTGGAACTATTTGACCAAATATTATAAAATTTGGAACATTTCCCTGTAACAACATACTCTTTAAACTGGTAATCACGAAAACCGGATACATCCATTCAATTTCCGGTTCCAGCAGTTGCAAGTCACATTTTCTGTATTTTTCCATTTTTTTGCTCTCTTAACACCAATTTTTTTTTGTCCAAATAGATAGAATAATCAATTTCGAATAAAAAACGCATAACGTTTAATACCCGTAAAATGGACCGTTTCAAAGATATTTTAATTTAAACTGAGGACTGCACAACGCTGAAACCAAAAAGTAGGGATTTTGAATGGATGATATCCACGGTAACAAATGACCATGGTCTCACTAAAAGCTGTCAGGCATCTGTCAACTTTGACATTGGACGATTATTAGACAATTAATCGAAAATATTTAATAAAAGAGTTTACCTCAGATTCCAAACATAACTTAGAATAAATCCAAATGGATCTCGTAGCATTTAATTCATAATTTATTGTCAAAGTTAACAGATGCCTGGCAGGGATTTATGTACCATGGTCATTGGTTGCCGTGGATACCATTTATTCAAAATCCCTACTTTTTGATTTCAGCGTTGTGCAGTCCTCAGTTTAAATTAAAATATCTTTGAAACGGTCCATTTTAGGGGTATTAAAGGTTATGCCTTTTTTATTCGAAATTGATTATTCTATCTATTTGGACAAAAAAAAATTGGTGTTAAGAGAGCAAAAAAATGGAAAAATACAGAAAATGTGACTTGCAACTGCTGGAACCGGAAATTGAATGGATGTATCCGGTTTTCGTGATTACCAGTTTAAAGGGTATATTGTCACAGGGAAATGTTCCAAATTTTATAATATTTGGTCAAATAGTTTCAAAGTTACTAAAAAAAATCAAATTTCCATACCCACATTCCGAGGGCTGTAAAATTCTTATCAGTAGAGATAGGACACGAGTTATTATTTAAACTAACATCATTTTATAGGTCATTTTTGAGGTTCAAATATTGCTTCATATTTATGAATAACCCTGTATGATTGCCAAATTGTAATTTAGCTCTATTAATTAACTTGGCTAAGTTGTCAGCAAAAATGTCACATTCTACCCCAAATAATTGCAGTTTTTAGACATCACAATTCAATTAAAATCAATGACCGTTTACTTACGCCTTTACGCCATCAAACCAACATTGTAAAATGGTGACCAAATTAAAGAGCAATATTCAAGTTTACTACGTACAAGTGAAAAGATAAACATTTAATAGCACTGACGTTATCAAAAGATTTAATATTTCTTAATAAAAAGCCTAAGGTTTTGTAGCAGAATTAATAGTAGCATTTATATGATCATTGAATGTAAGTTTAGCATCAAATAATATTCCAAAATCTTTAATAAGTTTTTTCTTTCAACCATTTCATTATCAATGTAGTATTCATAAAATTGTATTTTTTTCTTTTTACTGTATGATATAATACTACACTTGCTTGTATTTAATTTAATGATAAATTTTTAAGTCATCAGCAAACAATTTGTAAAATGAATGATTAATAACACTAGTGATATCATTATGTATACTAAAAAAAGTAGGGACAAAATTCGATCCTTGAGGCACACCTGAGTACTGCACAAAAACTGAAAACCTTTATAACAAACAATCTGCTGCCTATTATTTAAGACTTAAAAAATTCAATCATAGAAGCTGAGAAACCAAAAGTTTGTAATTTATGTAGCAAAAGTTTATGACTTACTTTATCAAATGCCTTAGCAAAATCCGTATAAATAACATCGACTTGCTTATCTTGATCCAATTCTTCCAATATAAATTGAGTTACAGTAATTAAATTAGTTAATGTAGAAAATTATGTGAGAGTATATTTTTCTACAAGAAATAAAAAAGACAAATTATCAATTTTTATTTTCTTAATAGACTTTTGAATTTTTATTATAATGGAAATGTGTTTAATTGATTTATTTCTTTTTAATCTCGTGTAGATTCATGTCAGAAAATAGGGAAAATCTTCAATTTTGCGATCCGATGTATAATTAATTGATAATTAGTCAGAATTAAATAAAACTGAAAATGTATCAAGATTCTCTATCCTTTACACTCTGTTCTTTACGGGGTTGAATCCCGGTCGACAGTATAGTAAAATCGTTTTCTTAAGACCTACTAAAAATTTTATAAGGAATGACTTGAATTTGTAACCCTCCATAAATGGCACGTTCCTTTGCAAGTGTTGCTGCACCCACTAGAATAAAACAGGGCCGTATTTAAAACCAAAGTAGTGGTATTAAAAAAAACAGTTTGTTAATAACAACCGGGATTTTTTAAATTTCTTAAAATACTTGACTTTAATAACAAAACTACATCAAAATATTTCAAGCATTTTAGACAAAAAAAAAGTAAGTAATCCGGTCCTGTTACTCTTAACAATACCGCTTTTAACATAAAAGTAATAAAATTTTTAGCAGATCTTAGAAAAACGATTTTACTATACGAGTGGCAAAGATTCAATGGAAACAAATTTACAATTTAATTATTCAAGCTATTCATAGTTATAAGAGATCTTATAACTATCCACCATTAATTTTGTTCTCAAAATATAGAAAAAATTAATTATTAGGTATGTACACTTAAAAAATATAATTTTGTAATTTTCATGTATAATAACTTTTATTATTTTCACTATTATACCAAACATTTTAGTTGTTTCGTTCAGTTATATACTTGTAAAGAAAATAAAAACCAGTAATTTGTTGTATCCTTGTTTTTATAATTAATAAAAATGTAAAAGCTTATGCACGATTCTGTGGGTAATTCCTGTAGTATTCCACAAAAGTGTATAAGGGCTATCAGCACTACCTGCTCTTTCAACAAATAATAAAGATCAAAGTTTCAATTCCGTATTAGCCAAATTCATAGGGGGTAAAAGGGTTGATTATTCTAAGGTAGAGGTTTGTGGATGAATTTCTTATATTTCAGACCAACATTTATTAAAATTAAGGGCTCCAATTATAGTTGTATAAACTGCGGAAAAGCCATTACAAATAAAAAAAATTACGTAAGCATCTCTAAAAGGTGGTGCCTTATGTTTGAAAAGGAACCATAATTATTTTCACAAAGACAATTATTTATTGTTAAAAAAAGTTTTTATTTTATCTTTTGCCATGATATACGAAAGAATTTTGAAGGATGAATAATTTTTTTATACAAAGATGTTCATTTTATTTTTTAATATTATTATTAAAATTTTTCACGTTGTGTGTAATAAGTAATAAGAGTACCTATATTCTTTGTAAATGTGAAACAATAGGTTATTGTTATTATTATAAACATTTTATTTTAATTCATGCTAGCTGAATTTCTTTTTAATTTATAAAAATTGTTAGTAGTATATTTTTCACAAACCATTTTCATTTTTAAAAGTATGAAATTTTTGTTCTACAAATTTTGTTTGAAGGAAAAGTAAAAAATTATTTTTCGGTTATGTCATCACTTGGTTTTGCTTCACGTCAGCCACAGTTATCTTTTGGTCAAAATCCCCTTAATAACAATGACAAAAATGAATATGCAGAGTGTTTGCTAAACCCGCAAGGGAAGAATAATTTGCTAGCAAAAAACGGATAAATCAGAATTGATCACTTTGTAATCTCATTGAAGCGACAACATTCACGTTTAATCGCCTTGCTATTATGATAGATATTCTATTTATCCAATTATCCATTCATTGATTCATTCATATTCATGGCATAACCATTATTATGCTTAGAATTATTACAGTGCTTCCTTTCATTGGACTCAGGAACATAAATTTCTTTGATAAAATAATTCGTATCACCGATGACATCTTAATATCACCGACAAATTCGTAGGTGCTGAATTATTTATTGATGATCATAAAATTATAATAATTATTTTGCGACTGCAGGTGATCCCTGTTATAATATAATCAAGAGAGTGACGAGAACTTTCAATTTATTCGAACAGATGGATGAATTACGAGCTAGAATATGAAGCAACATGTTATTGAAATTTTTGTAACAAGTTGAAAAATTATCAGACTTTATTAAAAGTAAGCAATTAAAATAATGATGATGTATAAGGAAGAAAGTTTATCGTCTTCCAAGAAAATAAAAGATATGGTGAAGCTAATCAAAGTGTAATCTTGATGTAACTTGTTTCTCAATACTGGAAGCTTCTGAGTATATAATAAAGACCATCTATTTGCAACTGTATACTTATGTTTCTCCTTGCTTTATTAAAAATGATTACGGGTATGAACATATTCCTCATCCACAATTAATATAATCATCTTACAACGGTTTTATAGACCTACGCACTGGTTCCTGACATAAAAAATTTGTAAAAGCTATTAAAGAAAGATAATAATTTGTAAAATTTCGTTTATTTTAGACACATAAAATGTCAAAAACTAAAAAATAAGTATGTTATATAAAAAAAAAACTTGTAGATATGCTTTTAGGCAATTTTTCATTTAAAATAGCTATAACAATTACATATTGATAAATTTCTATGTGAAGCCGTTATTTTGTTGAAATAGTTTGAGTCAGGTTGATTTCCGGCT